CATTACATACTTGTTTATTGAAAAATATTTTAAAACATTTCTTAAAATCCACCAAGGCACCATTTTTAGGAAAATGTTTAATGTCTTTGGGTGGTGGGAGGAAGATGGAGCACCCAGAGAAAACTAAGCAGACATGGGGAGAACATGCAAACTCCACCTAACACTACCATACTGTAAAACAAAACAATACACCCAAATTATTATGCAGAGAATAATCACCTAGGTCTAGAAGGCATGCAGTTTAATAGCAGATCATGAAATCAGCAACCCCAACAACAATGTCATTGTGTACCATCACTCCTCTTTTCTTACTAAGTTATTAAAATGTTAAACGTATTAAAAAACAAAGACCTGAGTTATCACCTCTTCCTTTGGCACAGAGTTGTGAAACACAGTAAACAGATAAGTGCTAAACAATGGTGAAAAAAACAGGGGAATCTCCTAAATATTATTGTATTGCAACTTCTTCCAAAACAAAAGGTAAAATTGCACGGAGTTCCTTCTTATTAAAAAGGTCTACCCACATTTCAACAATCCTTTCTAGAGGACACTATGGTATTCGAACTTGATTAGAATGCATTAACAAATTTTGCTTCTCACTTTAACTTGGTCTAGATGAGAATGTAATTCAAATGTCAGGTCATCAATAGCCAGTGTGTGGGCATCACTGGGCCTCACAGTATCATTAATGGTAGGGGGCAAAGTAGAAATTAAAAATCTCATTTCTTTCCTTCTGGGCCACCATAATGCTGCACAATAGTATGGCTAATGCATAAGAGAGCATTGCTCTAATCTCAGAATTGAGTGGAATAAGAGGAGCATTATCATGGTCTTTTTAAATGATGTGGAGGACACTACTGAATTGCACCAACCATCTCGCAATGTAGTATTAAAAACCTTTTCAGTGGGCTGTTAAAGCAGCAGCAATGATGCCTGTTTCAAATCAACATGTTTCCACTTCATCAAACCTTTCCTTGCAAGAAAATACAAAATTCTGTTAAGATTAGAAATGGAACCAGGTACACTCTGTTTTCCTTTCTCGTTCAAGTACAAACAGCTAACTCATTGTACAATTCCGAAATACAAAAAATGTAAGATGTTTAAGCTCCATGTAGAGTACACACAGCACATTGCATTAGTAAGTTCAAAAGTGTGTGTCCAAATATATCTGAAATCACCCTCTTTAGCACAGAAACAACTTAGAAAGACGTTCTATAGAGGGGTGCTGCAATATGCTCTGGTTAGGGCTTAAATCCGAATTTACTGAAAGAAATCAAAGATAAAATCAAATTGAAATAAAAACATGGTAAAATGGATCTTTTAATCGACCTGTACAGTATGTCGCTGCATGAATAAAATATAACATTGTTTACTGAGAAATGCTATGTACTGTATCAGCCTTGTCATATATGCTTTAAGTAATATCAAGTAAGGTTTAAGTTTTCTAATCTCCTTGGTAGATACATTTGTAAAAGGAGGCTTCTACAGGAAAGACTAGCCTTTGAGATTTGTCTGTTTCAGCTATGAATTAAGAGTACTCAGAAACTAACAGTAAGAGATATTTTATGTAACAATACATAGCAAAGTTTTTTTGTGACAGGATTGTGCAAATAGGTCCATTACAATAGTGAGTATTAAAATAACCTTGTAACTGGCACCTTAATAGAGTACAACAGAAAAAAAGATGTCTCACTGGAGTGCACCAATATTTTTTAAGTATTACAAAATGCTAATGTATGTTAATTTTTGCTCAAACCAACCATGTTTTATTAAAAATGAAATAAAATATATATGAAATATATAATATATTTAATATATAACTATTATATATACAATTTCATATCAATTATATATGAAATATCAGAAATAAAATCTTAACCCATTATCTTCAACTGGCTGTTTAATAATGTGATTTTTTTACTGCAATTGCTTGATTAGAAAGCAGCAGGCTCATATTTTTCATTTTTTGTCATTTTATTGTTTTAATCAGGAACATCACATACAAACATTTCAAAACACTTCTTTCACACTGTACCAAATAAAAATGTAAAAAAAAAAGTCTTTTTCTAAAATTACTGTTTATAAAATCAGTTAAGGAATGAAATCAGTTTACAGGAATTTTGATTTCCTGTAAAGAAAATCAAAATTTCCTTTAACACAAAATACAAAGTCATCATCCTTATTGTTGTTGCTGAGGATGATAACAACAATAACAATTATAATAATAGCTGTACCTATATTATAAGGACTATTTTTAAATAATTCTACATAAAGATCTAAGTATTTTTTCGAATTATTTTAAATGCATACAAAGATAACAGAGCTGTAACTTGTAAGTTGTAAAAGTAACTTCAGTATTACTTCATCTAATGCAATGTAAGCTGATCTAAAAGGAACAACAGCTAAATCATTTACAATAATCACAACTGAAAATCTAAAATTACATTTACTAAATTGCAAAACTACTGTAATCCCCACAAAAGCAAATGAGGTACAGTATGTATGGTACATACAATCGCATTATACTGTATATTAAGGATTGCTGTATTGTTATTTAATTAAATTTTTAAGGAAATGATTTCCATTTTCCTTAAACTGAGTAGATCCAAGGTCTCTTCCTGACATGTCATCAACAGAAAGTGCTCCGACTTTAAGCTCTAGAGAACAGATGGGTATAGACACCAGACACTTTTGCCAGCAGACGTCAATTATCCTGTATCAGCGCCATCAGATCTCATGGAGACAAATACTGTTAGACCTCATGGAGAGAAATATCTCAACGGTATGGAACAAATGCTATAAACATGCATGGGCAAAATAGTCTATGTATGTCTCATGTTCATATTTAATCTTAATAGAGAAGTTTAAAAACAAACAGTAAGTGGATACATGACAGGCACAATAAAACTGTTTTAGGCGGTGGACAGACAGACCGAAATCATTTGGTTAGCAAAACAGTACTTGCAGTGTTATGGACAAGAGCGAAGGCCTACCCTTTAACAGCTTTCTTCTATGGGAATTCAACAAAGACGTTCTATCTCATTTAAAAATACTGTACAGTATATCCTTTAAAAGCTACCACAATGAGAATCATCCAGGCACACCATTGTCTATCAACACATAACTATTCATGTGCTCACAATGGTTCTATTTTGTAGCTTCCAGGTTATCACACCTTCTTCGGCACTGAAGCAGCTGTTCCCAGACTTTCTTCCCAGACCTGTTCCTTTGTGCTTTCTTACAGTAGTGTTTTACAAGTTCAAACAAATAAGAAGTTATTACATAAACTTCATGGATGTTTACTGAGGTGTGTAGAGCAGTGCTTTTTCTCCAGTAACTTTGATCTTTGGAATTGGATTAGTTATTATTTTTAGTGCAGTTTAACGGTTGTCACACTTCAAGATCCTGAGCTCAGGTGAGTAACCTATGAATGCACTGTAAGATACTTAGGGCAAAGGCCTTATGAACAAACGTGTTTTATTGTGGATCTAAAAGCCAGCTTTCGGAAATATATTGCTTTGACTTTTAATTCTTTGCTAGCTGACATCTACAGTGTGAACATTTTTTTACTGAACATCATTATATATCTTGACTATAAAAACATAAATCTAAACAGACATGACATAAAAAACATACAAAACAGCATACTGTAGGTTCATTAAAAGCAAATGTAACTGGATAGGTCATGATTTCTCTAAAACTGTTAATTTTTCTTTTCAGGGCCAAATACAGTACAGTACATCTGAGGCATTTAAATGAATCCTGTAATCTTTCCTTACAGCTCAACTGTAAGCCCCCACCAAGAATTAACATGAAGTACAACTAATACTGGAAGACAGACATACCTCTGTGAACTTTATTATGAACCATTCACTGTGGTAAAGTTTTAAAGACTTATGTGCAAAACTAAAAACAGTATCCTGTATCCTAGGCACTGACATCTTCAGCACTTGTTTTATGTGCTGAGGTATTTATGCAAAGATCTTATAGATGTTTGGGAGGGGAGACAGACAGATATATCTGTATATTATGTTCTCTTTTTATTAAACCAGAGTTTTTCAAAATTCTACGTTATTACAGGACAACTGGTAAAACATACTGTAAGGCTGCCATAATAACTTTGGCAATTTTATACTAGCAAATACTGCGGCCTATATAATGTTGTGTTAACAGTATCAAAACAAGACTTTAAAGAAACCATCAGACTTGGACTTTTTTTTCTTATTACAACAATTTATTTATCGACTGAACTGGATGGCCATATTGTCCTTGTCTGCAATACACTTCACAGCTCACAACCATAAATCATTTTTTCATACCGTTTTATAACTCATTAAATATACTGTTATACAGTATACCGTACTTGATACTGGAGTTTAATTAAGTAGTATTTATTATAAGACGAGCCGACGTAAATGTGAAATTTACTACCATGTGTACTTTTCATCACAGTAAAATCCTTACACAGTAAAAAAGTTGTTTTATGTTTAAAAGCTTAGCAAGGGTTCCTGACCATACATTAAATGAAATGCATTCAAGATAACAATATGCAGTATTAGAAAACACCTAAGAGTTTGCTTATTATTCACTGTGCAGCATTACTTTGCACTATTGCTGTGTGCACGCTGAAATCTTAAAAGCTACGCACTATAAATTCTTCGCAATTTATAATTACCTCAGAATATAAAAAATATGATATGCACATACGATGTACTGTAATGAAAACATATTTAAACACTTGATGAATGCCTTCTTATACTAAAATTTTGGGGTGAATATCGTTTGGCCGATAAAGAGTTAATTGTACACTCGTGTGCAAGACTGACTGCTAATATACCACAATCTAATATCTAAATCTAAAACTTCCCATACTTCAAATATGTGGCTACAGGTGTTTTTATACATGGTGAAAATGTATTTATTAAGGACGCTCGTCTAGTAGGAGCTTGCGCCATAAAGTCTTAATTAAAACTCGTTTTCCCTTTATAGTTTTTACTTACCAGCATGGATCTGGCACGTAGCAAAAACTCTTCCATACTGAAATGAATCAGTGAGTGAATGCCGTTCTCGCCATGAAAAGTTGTACTGTAATGTTTATTTTCCACAGCCTTCTCCTGCTGAGATCACCGCAGTGCCCAGATAGGCTCTCTCACGGCCCACCTAATATGGAAGTGGGTGTGACAGTTAGGAACTTGACGGTAGCGCGCTCCCTTCTGCGCGTCCACGTCTAGAATTTTAACCAATGAATAAAATGTATCTGGGTAAATATCAGGGGGTCGAACTTCACAACCACTGCAACCATGGACAGCGCCCAACACTGAGATCTGAAGTGATGCAGGACTCTGCAGCATTGAATTCGAAGTCAGCAAACTAGTGTATTGTGATTGCGGGTAAAATACGTTTTGTTAATTACAGTAAGAATGAAGAAAGACAAGGATCAGAGGACAGAACTAACGCACAGAGGATAAGGATAATGTGATAAAATATGGAAATTTCGTAAATGTTGAAACTGTGTTCTGCAGCGTTTGTGTGTAAAGGGACGTCAAGACTGGACAGTCTTGAATTATATGTGCACATAAATACACTGTGTTTTTTATGCTTTTGCATGTCCTTTTAGAGGAGGTTGAACTGTTTTGAGTAAAATATTAAAAAAGAAGACTGCTTTTGAGATGAACAATAGGAGTACTACTGTATATTTAAAACACTAGATACTTAAGCACCATTTTTTTAAAAGCGGTCCCAAGGGAAAATCTTAAAAGCATTTGTTACCTACCACATTAAACAAAAAGGTTTCTCCACCTCTACAGTAAAAATGTAAACCATGTTTTTAAAAATAACATCTTGCCACCAATTTTTGTCATTTTGAGATGTATTTTTTAACACTTTTAGGAATTTTAGAACAAAAGAGGAAAGATTGAGAATGAACTCCAGGCTGCAAAGCAAATGCATATGTGACACTATGATGATTTCAAAGTATCATAATACTTCGTGACTCCTGCTGTTCATTTGGAGATCATCTTGTCTGGAGTCGTGAAGTAAACATTTACAATACATCAATACATCAAAAGCTATGCATGGCATTTCCAGTAACAGTCCTGAAAATATATCCCTTTTCCAAGAAAAATGTATTTTTTATAGAACATGTATGCTTTCCTGGTGTTTCACAATAATCTTGTCCCTATCCACAGTCTCTTGGGAACTATAACATGTTTTTTTGTTGTTGTTGTTGTTTTACATTAAGGACACATCACAGCTCATTAGCAAGCTCTTTCTGACTGCTCAGTTTCATAGTTTCCTGTATGTGTTTTAAGGGAGGAACACGGAACACTATTTTTGATAGTGCATGTGGTTTCCTATACAGTATGTGTTCCATAATATACATGACCCTACAGGTACAGGTCATTAAAATTCTGAGAGGATTTTGCAGATAAGTAATATTATATAATAAGTCAATAATTTGAACAGTAACAGTAGGGTTCCAGCAAAATCTAAATTCAGTAAATACAACATTTTATTTATAACACATTTGCCCAAACTTAAAATACTATACAATGCATAACAGCCAAAAGTATAATAGTATAACTGAAGCCTAAAAGCGTAAGCAAGATTCAATTTATCAATAAAAAATAATTAAAACTGTGTATCTGTAAACATAGTGTTGTAAAATCTGTAAAAATGTTCACAGGAATAAAAAGCCCCTAAGCATTCTGGGCAGCATGTATAGTAGCAATACACAGTTTCCATTTAAACAAAGCTTTATCTTAGGTAATGAAAGACACTCAACATCAATAGATCTTAAATTGCATGCAGGTACCTGTGCAGTAACTCCTTCAGGTAATCAGGGACTTGAACCATTTAAGGCTTTTACAAGAGTGAGAACAATCTACATATTACAGGAGTTACTGTTCTTCTTCAATCAGTCATTTGAGATCTCCACGTATTGCATGCCTTGTTTAGGGTTTTAGACAAAACTCTTTTAACATTTCAAAAGGATCTTAACAGGCCATATTACATAAATGAAAGAATAGTAGTCTGAGAGCTTAAAAAGCCAGCAGAAAATCAAAATAAACCCCAATATTTCTCACTTCAGGTGAAACACTGATGTTAGTGGCACCAAAAATAACATTAAAATTACAGTCGTAGTTGGAATCTAATTAGCATGAGCTCAGTCTTGACATAAATGTAAATTGAATATTCTGAATTCAAAGTTCATTATCCCACAAGAATTTAAATGATATAACAGCCACATTAGAATTGGGTTTAATCTGCAAATAGATCTGTGTGCTATGTTCTAAGCAGTGAACCTAAGACCATGACAATTAATAATTTGGCTAATAGGAAAAATAAATACAGTACATCAAATAATAGGCCCAGAACAGAACCCTGTGTAACCCTCAGTGTAACATGTCAAGGGAAATGAATTGTCATCTATAAGACAAATACAGCTTAAACCAATGGAGGAAAGTGTCAATAGTACCTACATTATCTGATACCAGTCATATTAGGATGCATATTTGAAAGAAAAGTTGAAAATGAAAAAAAAAATCCTTATAAACTACAAACACTCTGATACAATATATCAAATCAGTACTTCAAACTGAACTACAGACCAGGACTAGCTAAAGCATACAGAAACAAAATTAAGGTAGATGAAGAAATGTGAAAAGTGCAAATAATTGTGCTTCTATAGAGTAAATGTACTCAAAGGTTGTTGAGATAACTTGGTGATATTCTCAATAAGAAACCAAACAGACAAGATGGACAAATGACCTCCTTTTATTTATTCTGTTTTTATACATCTGAGAATGATACTATATTCAATATGATATTCATTTTGTAATATTTTTTTACTATAAAAGGAAGAACAAATACTACATTAATCTTTACATACTACAGTTAATATTTGTGATGTGGGTTTCTTCTGCATTTAAGAGTAACTTTGCTTAAAATAACAAAGGTTTATAGATGTAAAGGTCATGTGTCAGAGATGGACAAAAAGAAAATATAAAATTATAGAACAAAAATGGTCATTCAAACAAAGGTTTGTTAAAAATTATATACAAACACTAATGCATGGACCCCATTACCTGTAAAGCGCTTTGAGTGGAGTTTCCAGAAAAAGTGCTATATAAGTGTTAGCAATTATTATTATTATTAAAGAGCCATTAAATAATCCTGTACATGGAGAATGCTTTATCTTAAGAAGCTAAAGTGATTGCAATGGAAATTCGAAATAGACATGAATTAACCACATACTCACAAGGCCTTGAAGCCTTTGTTCAGAATAACGAAGTCTAGATTGAATGTTTGAATTTTTAAGGATTCTACAGAAATACACAAAAGACAAAAAATAGGCTATAATGATTTGTTAATTATAACCATGTATTATCTTTCAAATGCAAAGTCAGAACAGCATTACATTTTGATAACCAAGTACAGGTAACTGAAGTAGTGATTTTATTTACCCTAACCCCAATTTCCTATCTTATTATGTTCATTGTTAGACAGTAAGGGTACCACATCTGAAACATACACCTAGGAAACCTCCTGGTAAAATATTTGCAACAGATAATCTTCACTTGCAACGTATTGGAGGAACCTCCATCTCTCCTGCAGCCAGTGACTTTGCTGCTGCATCTGATCACCAGACAATACTGCAGTTGGTGGGGAAAGATATAGATCAATTTACTCTTTCACTCCCCCTAGAGTCTAGCAGCTTATTGAGATGTAGAGTGAATCATCTGCCATGTGTCATCAGCACCCTGATTGCAGTCACATCCCCAGGCTCAGTTTCTATCCCACTCTGACAGCCAAAGACAGAAGCTTTTAACTCTGTACCATCCATGTATTAAGGCTGTAACATATGCCCTCATATAGAATCCCATTTGCTGTTGTGAATGAAACCATGTGTATTAGAAAAGGCTTACTGGTCATGTGTGTTTTGAGAAAAGGTTTAAGTAAAAGCACAACATAAGTCTCACTGCATGTACATTGACAGTGTTGAGTTTGAGCAATTACATTTTGATTAAAAATAATTAAGAAAAATTGTATACATCATTTGTAATTGAACAGATAGGAACATCACTGGGAAGGAGTGAATACTTTTGCAAGGCACTGTTTGCAAAAACATACATGTATTTAAGTGGTAGGAAGTGTTTGTCAAGCATTTAGTACAGAACATCTGGTTAAAAGCCTCTGTAGTATATCTTATGAAGTATGAGTAAACAATTAATCTTTAGAAGTGCATTTTCAAGGTTACACCAGACTCCAATTATAGCATAAGACTGTATTTTATGTATAAACTTTAGGTTTCTGTAATTTGTTTACCAATCATTATAATACACCATTGGACCCTATTATTGTTTGATCTGCCAATATAATACATACCTTTATTCTGTTCCTCAATACCAAAACAACTTCTTGTTTATACAAGAATCTTAACTGCAATAGGAAAACCAGATGGTGGCTTGCTATGCCATACAATTCCAGACCTTGGCCATTGAGGATGGATAGGGGGAATATATGGTGATATATTTTCTATATATATAAGATTTATATTTTTCATCATCTATAGCACCCCTGTCATCTTCCAACACTTCATGAATGTCATTTAACGTGGTTTCTTGGACAGGTTTATGATGTCTACATCAACAACATCCTAAAATATTCTCCAGTTCAATCACTGAGTACAACCAGCATGTCAAACAGGACTTGGCTGTGCCCCATCACCCCCTGAATAAGAAGCTGAAGCTGACATACGAGTTCCATGTGCCTGAGAAAATGTTTTTAGGATCTCATATCTCCTCTCAGGGCCTCCAAATGGATCTATAGAAGGCCTCAGCAGAATGAGTGTGGCCCATTCCCATCTCTCTAAAACACCTCACTAAAACAAAATCAGCATTGTTCAGTTTTGTGAACTTCTACCGCAGATTAATCCACAATGGAGTTGAAACATTTTTCACAATGAAACCCTTACCTTTCGCTGCTCTTTGAGCCACAAGTGAAAACATTGGATGTGGAAGTAGGTGCCGTCCTGTTTCAACACTCAGGTACGTCTTGTACCCTCTTCACCCGTGCACCTACTTCTCCAGGAAGCTCTCTCCCACACAAAAATACTACAGCATAGACAATCAGGAAGTCCTGGTGGTGAAACTGAATGGA